GGCTGGCACAGGCCTGGAGCAGCATCCCTGTAAAGGGCCAGCAGGTGGGATAGGTCTCTGTCTCTCCTCTTCCTGTGCTGGTGCCGGGCCCTCCTGCCTTCGGAAGTTGCTACATATCTACAGGAAACCCAGAGCAGGAGTGGGAAGCAGAGAGGATGGCTCTGATCCCACACTGGATCATCAGTCCTGATTGCCCAAGAGTTGCTTCTATTTGACAGGTAAACATTTGCCCTAAAATCAACTGCCAATCCTGATTGTTCAAGAACTCTTGTGAAATTCCCAAAATGTTTAAGGTCACTTTCATTTAAAAAAAAAAAAAAAAAAAGCTTGTAGTCTGTCTTATGAGATAGCCTGTCATAATATCAAGCAAATGACAACAGGCATCGCTGTTCCTGAATCTGGCTGGAAATTGCCTTTAAAAAGTCATAAAGACGGGGGCGCCTGGGTGACTCAGTTGTTAAGGGTCTGCCTTCGGCTCAGGTCATGATCCCAGGGTCCTGGGATCAAGCCCTGCATCGGGCTCCCTGCTCGGCGGGAAGCCTGCTTCTCCCTCTCCCACTCCCCCTGCTTGTGTTCCCTCTCTCGCTGTGTCTCTCTCTGTCAAATAAATAAATAAAATCTTTAAAAAAAAAAGTCATAAAGACAAAAAAAAATCATAAAGACATTGGCTTGATGCTGAAAACTGAGAAGCAAACTCATGACCACTGTGAACCCGGGAAGTCCAAATAATTTGGAACATGACTAACATTTGGGAAAACACTTGGGCAAGTGTCCAAAATGCTGAGGGGAACTGAACTGTGATCCATACCCATCCTCCAGGTGGGAGAGAATAAAACAGAGTCCCACAGCTTGTTGTTAAAGACTGGATTACAGAACCAGAGGAGAGAAGCACAGCTGCCAGGACAGATCTGAATTTCAGTTCATCATCTGATTTTAGCAGCATGCAATTTTCATCAAAACCAACAATTCTCAGCAGCTGAGAAAGAACGTGAGAGAGCACGAGAAGGGCCAAGGAAGGCAATGAGGGGACAGAGCAGGGAAGCTAGGGAGGCTGCGCCCAGGTGAGGCCAGAGCCCGTGGGCCCCAGAGGAGGCGCACCCTGGGGCTGAAGGAGGGGCTCCTCCGCTCCCCTCGGACCCAGAAGGCCAGCCTCAGGCGAATTCTGACTCCCGATGGACCGTCTCTCACTGCCCGCCCTCGCTAAAGCCAGGCTGGGCTCGGGTCTCAGGAGGGACCTGCCTGTCACCCAGGAAGAGGCCACCCTGCCACAGATACGTGGCTTCTGTTTTCCAGGAGGGCTGGTGGTGACAGGATGATCTCTGCACATTCTTTGGCCAGGTCCCCACCGGCAGCCAAGGGCACGCCCTTCAAAGTGGCTGGGGCAAGGGCTGCAGAGGCCCCCCCACTGGCGGGGTCCCCTAAGCACCCAGCCCCCGTGCAACTCCCCTGAGGCTCTGGCTTGCCCAACTAGGCAGCAGCACAGGCCCACTGCGCGCCCAGGCCTCCCAGCCCCAACCACGCACCTACAGCCCCTTGCGGCACATTTCTGCGGCGGAGCCGTAGCAGAGGGAGTAAAACTACGGGTAGCGCCGGACACCGCAGGAGACACCGCGGTGAAGCCTATGAACCAAGAGACACAAGGCTCTCCTCTGACCTGTCAGGGGCAGCTTCTTAAGGGTGCAGAAGGGAAAACAACAAAAGCCAGCTCAGACCCATAGGGAAATATAATCTGTGATTATAAATATTTCATGAGCAAAGAAGGTGGTACTGGTTGAGACACTGGGGTGGGGAGGGCGGACAGCAAATTAGATCCCAGTTTGCAAAGTGACAGGGCAGCTGGAAAAGCAGCAAAGCTGAGGCTATTCTGGGCTGTGCGCTGGGAAGGCCTGCGTCACAGAGAGCAGGCTCCGGCCACTCGGCTTTGTGGAAACCACAGCCTTCCAGTGGTCAGCAGAGAACACCTTGGGAGGGGTGTTTAAGCCCACGGAAGACCAGAGGAGGGGACAGTGAGGATAGTCATTTGAATGACCTGGGTAGGCTGTGGCAGAGCAGCAGGACCCCGCACACTCGTGACAGGATCCATACGCTGTCTGCTCACTAAGGGCACAGGAAGGACTGAGCCTGACCCCAGAAGGCAAGGGGCCTGCAATGCAAGGGGGCAGCTCAGGAAAGAGCAAAGGCCCAGCCCCTAAGCAGGTGGTGCCCGGCTGAGAATCAGAACTCTGCCTTCCCTTCCAGGACAGGGGTCTCTTCTCCCTGAATCTTTGGGAAGCAGCCTGGAAAGCAGAGCAATGAGCAGCTTGCTGAGTACCAGTGGCTGCAGCTGGAGAGACACCCACCACTGACAAAGCAGGGCCCGGTCTGGGTGGGAGTCCTCCTCCTGGGCCACGGCCAGCCACGGCAGCAGAGCAGGCCGGCCACAGACTCCAGCAGCCCTTGCGGAGGGCCGGAAGGAGAGGGATGTTAGCTCCGAAAGCACCCAGGGTACCTTGAATCAAGCTTAGTCAGAGGAACCCTGGAGCGGGGGAAGCAGTGCCTGCCTCAACCAGGAGGACAGAAAACTACTAGTCCTCGCTTCCTTGCAGTCAGGACTTAGCAGGCAACAGGCTCTAGGATCACAGCTAGAGAATCAATTCAAGGTGGAGAGGACTCATCAACCCCAAAAGTAAGACCCCATGTTGTTGTTAGAAGACCCCTCAGTTGTAAGTCCCAGGAACTGACTTCAAGACCAGCTTTACCACCTATTAGTTTTAAGACCCCATGAAATGACGTTACTAAGAAACTCAGTGTCCTCATCTAAAACACGGACCCATGCCTGCCAAACCTAAGGACTAGGAGGGACCCAAGAAGAGACAGATACATAAACACTTTCAAAACAGATACTAAGTGCCGCTCCAATCATGAGATCATTTACATCCAGCTACTTACTTGATACCTCCTGGATGTCTCACAGGCACCCCCATCCAGAGGCCCCCAACTGCTCCCTCTCCCACCCAGGCTGCTCCTAGGGCCCTGCCCCCTCGACGCTTGGTAGGACCAACCATCCAGGCGTGGAAGCCAGGAACCCAGGACCCATTCCTGGCCTTCCCAACGGCGAAATGTACCACCGAGCCCAGTGAACTGAGCTTCCTCGAGGTTTCTACTCCCTTCCTTCACCACCATCCCCACCCAACTCGTCATCATCTTCACAGGGTCTGCTGCAAAGCCTATGCTGGCCATTCTGGCCTCCCTTAGCCTCTGTCCACAGAGCAAATCTAAGCAAATCTCCTCTCCCAGCTCCCCTACCCCACATGCTGAATACTCCCAACAGTATGCTGATGCCCTCAGGACAAGGAAAGCTGCCTGGGGCTTACAAGGCCCTGCACAGCCTGGCCCTGCTTCTCTCCTGCCCTCACCCTACACCACGCTCCAGCCCACTCTCCCTGCTCCAGCCACACTGGCTTTTTCAAGTCCCTGGTGGGTATTCCATTCACCGCTGCCACAGGGTTTTTGCACGTGCTCTTCCCTCTGCCTGGAATATTTTTCCCTCCGCCTAACTAACGCCTATCCATTTATTTCCTTCCCCTCTTCCCCTTTCGAGTCCACACTCCTCCCCAGCCCCAGGTAACCAGTATGCTTCTATCACTTCTAATCATTCCTCGGAAAGCAGCTGATGCAACCCTTTCTCGGGGAAGCTGCCTCCAATCCCTCAGAAAAAAAGTCTACTCCCATTATCACAAGCACTTTCCCACTTGAGGATGTGCATCCGAGTACTTAGGTGATCTGTGTCGATTTTCCCTGGGAACACCGTAAGCTCCGTGAAGGCGAAGACCTCATCTACTTGCACTCTCCGTTGTTCTTCAGGACTGGTGCATGCAGTAACAAATTAGCTAATACCTCCTGAGTGCTTATTATTGCCAGGCACTTAGAGGTACTATGTCACTGAATTCTCCCATCATTCCTACCAAGTAGGTGCCATTATTATATCCCCATTTTACAGAGGAGGAAACTGAGGGACAGAGAAGTTAAAAAACTTGCCCAGGGGTGCCTGGGTGGCTCAGTCGTTAAGCGTCTGCCTTTGACTCAGGTCATGATCCCAGGGTCCTGGGATCGAGCCCCGCATCGGGCTCCCTGCTCAGCAGGAAGCCTGCTTCTCCCTCTCCCACTCCCCCTGCTTGTATTCCCTCTCTCGCTGTGTCTCTCTGTCAAATAAATAAAAATTTAAAAAAGTTTTTAAAAAAATTAAAAACTTGCCCAAAGTCAGTAAGTAGTAAGTGGTGGAGTCAGGATTCAAACCCAGGCAGTCTGGCTACAGAGCCTGTGTTCTTAATCATTATGCTCTTCTACCGCTGAGAGGCCACTGGAATATACAATGAGCGTGTGCAAAGGATATTCTGAATGAATAAATGAAAGGATTTATAAATGAGTTGATGAGATCTCATTAAAGGAACTCAGGGAACCCCCAAATCTTCCCCCAGATCAACAAATCAGTGGGTTCACCCGCACAGGCCCAAGATCAGGTCATCTGCAAAACAGAAAGGCTAATCCATTTCCCCAGCAGTCAAGGGAAGAAGCTTTCTACTGCTGAACACACAGGAGTGTTCTGGTCCCTCACAGAAGGTACCCCCACAGTAAAGAAAGGATCACTGCCTGGGTTCCATTGAAGCCTAAAGGCAATGTTCCACTAGATGGAACAAGTCCCTCTGCCCTTATTCATGCTAACCTGCAATCTTCATAACCATTTAATATCTCGAGCCCTCCAACACAGAAAGAGGATACTCTGAATGGCAAAAAAAAAATTAAAATAAAAAATAAAAAAGCTTGCCTGGTGAGAAAGTGACAGAGTCCAACTGTACATTACGAATTTGGTTTGTACCTCCATTTTCCAGAGCTTGATAATCCTGGATGAGCTCATAGGCTACCTCATGCTATCGGTGTGACCAGACAAGGCTAGGCCACCTTTTAACTGCTTCGGTGCCACTTACCTCATGACCACATCCCAAAAAGCTCAGGAGGAAACATACATGAAAAGGTTTATTTTTTCACAGGACACTGTTCCCCAGCCATGGGGCCCCAAGTTCCCTCCCATGAGTCCCACCGCAGCCAGCGGCCCGAGCCCTGATCACACAAAGTTCTGAGCAATGGCCAGGACCTTGGAAAATTCACCTTCCCTCTGACGTAGGCTGGTGGGGATGGGTGTCTTAATTCGGGTCCCCACAGGGTTCCCATTGTCCTCAATGAGGACCACATTGTTGGAGTCAAACCTGGGGGTCATCCGGGGACCGGGCATGCGATGCCCCACAATGAGTGCCTTTTTCTTCTGTCCCTTGATGGCCAGCAGTATCCGGTCGCCCACCTTGCCCACCCCGTTCTTGTTATAGACGTGGATGCAACGAGGAGGGCGATGGTATGGGGTATTCCCCAGGGCACTGTTGTCCACCACACGGACCCGCGTCATCTTCTGAATTGCACTGAGGCTCCCGGTGGTGCTGGGGAAAGAAAAAAAGTCTGAGGTCTGTATCTCTCCTGGTCAGGGTGCAGAGGCCTCTGAGGACAAGGCCTGGGAGACATCACACGTTAGCAACAACGCACTGAACAGAGCAAAACCCAGGGCCCTGACAGAAAGTCAGGTGCTTGCGAAGACTTCTCTGTGCCCAAGACAGTTTCCTCACAGTCAAAAGCTTCTGCTGCTGGGTCAACATCTCGATTTGGAGGGGTTTTAAATAGAACCCAATTTTCTGTTACAACGAACTTCATGGCAGCCTAACTGAAAGCCTTTGGTATGCAAAAGAACTCTGAGAATTAAGGGACTATTTTATGGGCCAGGCCTCACCCACTGCCTAGCCTGTAAAACCTGCTCCCCCAGAATACACTGATTCCCAAACTTCCCGTCTATGTGTTGCTGGGAGCCAGACGATATGAGTGAGTAGGCTTGCTAAGGGAGTCCCCTGACATAAAAGAAGAAACCAGAAATAAGTCAAGGTAACGATCTTTTGTCTCAGTGCATTTTTCCCCACTAGAATGGAATTTTTTTTAAAGTGTACCTATTAAAGGCAGATAAGCTATTATTAAGCGTCTGATAACAGTGGGATTTCTATCTTCCTGATGCCAGCACCTTAAGTGCTACATTCTCCAGGGTAACCCTAGGCTCTCCCCTCACATTCCACATGCCTACTCTGGGGCAATTTTATTGATTCCCTTTGCTTCCAACTAGTAAATTCCACCTCCAGCCTTACTTCCCTCCTGTATTCTAGCCATGCTCCCCACATGTCCCAATGATACCGCAGACTCACTAGGTCCCACACTGACCTCATCACCCCCCTCGCACACCTCCCCATGCTGCTGCAGTTCTTACTTAGACAACGGCTCCTCCAGCTCCCACACTGCAAGCCTCTCTCCATCAGCACCCCGGCTGCCAAGCCCTATTGACACTAGCCATGAAGCCCCTCTGTCCTCTCCCTCCACCCCCCCCCAACACTTCCTCAGTTTGGCAGCTTTCTCTCTTACACCAAGACTGTTACATTAGTGTCCGAACTGGTTCCGTGTGCCTCACGTTGCCAGCCAGGGGCTCTCTTTTAGAACATAAAGCTGAGAACACTCCCCTTAGAACTGTTCAGTGGTCCAGCCCTGTCTACACTGTCAACAACCTGGCCCCACTTACCTGCTGTCTGAGGGCCACAATCTCTTACCGCTGAGCCCCCACCCCCCGGAGGCCCGGCCGGGGCCTGCTCCCACTTCCCTTCTGCGAAGGCTGCCTCTGCGCCCCCTTCCCCCTCCTCTGTTAGCAGCCCGTCTCAAGCCATCCAAAGCACCCTACAAACCCCTGGGTTATTATACTGGTCACATCTCCTCTGAGCTATTTGTTTCCAAGCTTGCTCCTGTGGCCAACTGTGAAGACTCTTTGAGGACAGGAAGTGATTCTTATTCATCTATGAGCAACCCCAGGCGCAGTGCTCAGTAAATGCCAGGGAGTGAGTGCACGAATGGGGCCAGGAGGCATGTCTGCCAACAATAACGCTCCCCGTGCTCTGTGTCCCGGCTTGGCGTCTAAAAGGAGGTGAGGCTGTCACACTTCTACCACGCCTGAGTTTTGGTAATACACATGTAACATTTTAAAAAGAGATTCTGTTTTTAAAAGAGAAGGTTTTCCCGCACTGGGGGAATGACAGGGTCGAGAGATGTTGGAGTCACTGCAAGAATCCGGCAAGGACTGAAGTTTCCTCTACTGTCAGCCATTCCCTACCCCACCTCCAACAGCAAGGTCACGTCCTTACCAATCCTCTTACCAAACCCCAGCTGCTCTGGCCCGTTTAGCTTTCCCAGATGCCAAGCCCACCTCTGTGAGTTCCAACTCCCTTTCTAGTCGCATAACACCCAGCCCTGATGGGAGGCTCACTCAGACACACAGCTCTAAGAACCGAATGGGAAAGTTACCTGAAACTGCGCTGGCTGAGCGCTCTGCTTGCATGGGTGAAGGGGCCCCAGAGCCCAGCACAGAAAGCCATGGCAAATCCTGCAGGAAAAGAGGGGGAAAAGGTTTATTTCTAAGTCAGTGTCCTTACTCAGAGCCAGCCTGCCGGGGACTTGTGTGGGAGATGGTACTTCTAGCATAAGATCATTAGTCACTAAATATAAATCTTAGTGGTTAAAAGACACGCAGATGATTAGATGGAACTCCAGCTACAGTTTTGCTGATTCATATTCTAACTGGGGTCAGAGAGCTGGATGGCCCACAGCAGTTCTTGCTATAATACAAGAGCACAGAGATGCCTTCCTGCTTACATCATTTCCATAGGCAGGAAGAAAGCAGGAATTCTCTGGTATACACCCCACCAGTGACCCCTCCCCAAGTCCTCCAGAGAGGAAAGCCTGCACGCTAGTGCCGAGTGCCTCCTGAAACCAGAGCTTCTACCCCCTGCAGGTAGATTACCTGAGCAACTGCCACATTGTCTTGTCACCATGTCACCTTTCCCCAAATATAAGCACCAGAACACCTGGGTAGCTCAGGGCTAGCCAAGTAGAGCCAAAGGATACTCCTGCCAAGCCACTGACCAAAGCCTCTATTTGGGTCAGTCTCCCCAACAACAATATACACAGACAAACTACCTGCCCCCCACCATAGCTGAAAGCGGAATTTGGGAGAGCAAGTTGAAGATAGAAGAACAAACACCGACCCAACACCAGGGCCTCCAACTTGCAGAACCCCAACCCTGCGGCTGGCTAGCACCAACAAATACAGCAACCCCAGAGGCCCACAACACCCAGGCATCACTTAGGGGCAGGCTGAAGAAAACCCTACAGCCAAGAGGCAATGCCAGCCGCAAGACACGCCTGCTCTAGCCCCGCGTTTGGCTGCAGAGGGCCTCATGGAGAAATCTGCTAAGAAAGACTAGACAAGTACCTTACGGTACCATCTCATTTAAGCCTCACAAAAACCTCTCCGAAACAGGCCTTAGTGTTAGGCTCATTTTACACATGAGGAGTAATTCTCTAACCAGCAAGGTGAAAGAATTCGCCCACGGTCACACAGCCAAGAGCTTCCTGAACCCACGCTCTTACTCAACAGCTAACACGGTTTAACTTTAAATATTAGTATTTTTCCAGGGTGCCTGGGTGGCTCAGTCGTTAAGCGTCTGCCTTCGGCTCAGGTCATGATCCCAGGGTCCTGGGATCGAGCCCCACGTCGGGCTCCCTGCTCCACGGGAAGCCTGCTTCTCCCTCTCCCACTCCCCCTGCTTGTGCTCCCTCTCTTGCTCTCTCTGTCAAAAAATAAAATAAAATCTAAAAAAAAAAAAAAAAGGGGCTCTGAAAAGCAGTCCGTCTGGTCCAGGCTGCAGTGACCTCTGATTTCAGCCAAGCTTTCCCATCTGATGCTGGCGGGCCCTTTTCCTCATTCCTGGGGAGAAAAGAGGCTCCTCAGCTCCTCCACAGAACCCTCAAGATTAGCCCAGCACCACCCACTCACATTCCCTCTCCTGAGAACTGCAACACCCTGCCTCCCCACACTGCACCTCTTCCTCAATAACACTTATGTTAGCCAAGGGCTGCCAAAGTGCTGGGGGCTTCCCAGAACTTTCCCGACTTGGGTACAACAAACCCACGATTCAAGGCACCTCTCTAAAATCTGCTGGGCAGCCTGGGCACAAACCCAAACCTAAACCTCCTCTCCGTGCCTCGTTCACAAGCCACCCCCACAACCTATGCCTGTCTCTGCCTGGCTAAATCTGAGCCAGCGCCCAACACATCTCCCCCAGTAAGCCTTGGGCAAAACTGCAGCATCACTTGCTACCCCCTCCTGCACACTGAGGACATCTGGGGATCCCGTGCCAGAGGAACTCCCACAGCTCCAACGTTCACTATCCAAACTCTGGCAACTGCATGCATTTGGATACTTGTCTTCAGATAAGGCTGATAACCCTTCACATTCTAGTTCTAGCTACTCATTCTCCAAAACTCAGGAGCCAGAGGTCTTGGTAACATGGCACTTGAACTCACACCAGAATTCAGAGATCATAGAGATTCAGATCACAAGGATTATGTGTACTGCCCTCAGACACAGGAGTAATACATTCACATCTCCAGGGGGTACTTCCATTTTCACAAGACGAGGTCCAATCCAATCCAGACTTTTCACCAGCTCTTTAGTGGATCTGATGGTGACCTCCACACCCAAAGGACTTAAGACATCAAATGGACAGCAGTAAGCATTCCCATGAACATAAAAGCACAAAAGAATCAAATATATTCACTTACTATATACATGTCCCTTCTTTCTTTCTTTTTTTTTTTTAAAGATTTTATTTATTTATTTGAGACAGAGAATGAGAGAGAGAGCACACGAGAGGGGGGAGGGTCAGAGGGAGAAGCAGACTCCCCGCTGAGCAGGGAGCCCGATGCGGGACTCGATCCCGGGACTCCAGGATCATGACCTGAGCTGAAGGCAGTCGCTTAACCAACTGAGCCACCCAGGCGCCCCTCTTTTTTTTTTTTTAAAGATTTTATTTATTTGACAGAGAGAGAGAGCACAGCAGGGGGAGCAGCAGGCTCCCTGCTGAGCAAGAAGCCTGATGCGGGGCTTGATCCCAGGACCCAGGGGTCATGACCTGAGTTGAAGGCAGATGCTTAATCAACTGAGCCACCCAGGCGTCCCATGTCCCTTATTTCTTAAAAAAAAAACAAAACAAAACAAAACAAAAAAAAAAACTGTGGTCCCCTCCACTCCCATCCCAGCAAAAGACCCCAGCAGCTATTGAAAGAGTAGGAATGCAAAGAATATTTGTTGAATAAAATAAATGAGGTAGCCAACAGAAGAACAGATTCCCCTCACCCATGGCTCTACACAGAAGGAAAGCCAGACGATGCAGAGCTCTTATCTGCGCATCAGGAACCAGGACATCACATGCAAACATGCTTTAGGAGAACCACGGTGCCAGTCATGGGAGGATTAGCCCATGCCAGGTTTACAAGCCCCTGGAATCATCTCTTGGGCCTGGTGCCTACAGTACCCATTGTGGAAAATCACCTCATCCCACCACTAAATAATTGGCTTGCATCAGGCCAGAGTAATGGAGGCAGCAATTTACTTCAAAGCAACTCCAATTGACCTTGATGTTATTTCCCAGCATAAATCCATCAGCAGACACAGGCCCTGATTCACTTTGGAGCAATCTATACACATAATGCTTTGTTTCACAAGCAATGTCATTCTGAGTCTTGTGTTTGCGCAGGCAACTAACCCAAAGATATTTCCTCCTCCACAACACTCTCACTCAGAGGCCAGGTACTCTGGAGACTCCAGTGCCAGAGATGGCTTTTCACGCCACTTCCTGGTCAGCACCAAGTACTGCCCTCCGGGTTCAGAGTATGAATCACAACCTCTCTGGAGAGGGGGAAGGGGAAGCAAGAGAAGGAAGGAGGGGAGGGAGGGAGGGAATGAAAGAAAGAGATTACTTAATACAATCCAAGAATTGTACTCATTTTCCATCCTGGTTTAGCTTTAAGATCTCCCCTTCTGTTCTGAAGGCCCTGTAAGTTTCAGGGACACATAGGTGAGCTTTTTACTCGACATCACTTTATAGGTCCCCTTGGAAATACACTCGGTGAGGGCAGGGACCAGGCCTGCATTGCTCATTGCTGCGCACTCAGAGGACTCAGTGCAATGCACATGAATGGAGTTTACTAAGTATCTGTTAAGTGAATACAATTCAATCTGCAATTGCAATTCATGCTCCAGCTCCAAAGAGCCTCCGTGCTGGGGGGTTGGTGGTCTTTCTTGTGGCCTTCACTCAGGCTCCTAGTGACTTGGGAAAGCCTCCTTAGACACAGGGAACTCGTGTTTAATGAATTTTAATGCACAGAGACTGAGCTGGAAAAGCAGACAGAAAGAGTCTATACCTCTGGTGCTTTGTAGAAAGCAGGAATATACCACTACTTGAGCAAGGAACAGCAAAATGGTATACTTAGTATCATATGTATTCATTGTTTCCACCTAAACTATTTCCATCTTAAAGATGCCTGACTTTATGTACGTTTTTGTTTTTTGGTTTTTTTTAAGATTTTATTTATTTATCTGACACAAAGAGACAGCAAGAGAGGGAACACAAGCAGGGGAAGTGGGAGAGGGAGAAGCAGGCTTCCTGCAGAGCAGGGAGCCCGATGTGGGGGTTGGAAGGCAGACAACGACTGAGCCACCCAGACGCCCCTGTTATGTACATTTTAAAGGCCTCCCAAAAGGATGGGCTCCAAAGAAACAAACCAAAAAAAAAAAAAAAAAAAAAAAAAAAAATCAAAAGTTCAGCACAATCACAAAGCCATGTTCAAAGCACATTGTCAGTAACTGAAAAGAAAAGCCATACAAATGCAGGGCCCAGTCACAAAAAGGAAAAACACCTAGGGTAAGGATAGAAATGTCCTTTTTTTTTTTTAAGACTTTATTTATTTGACAGAGAGAGAGACAGCAAGAGAGAGAACACAAGCAGGGGGAGTGGGAGAGGGAGTAGAAGGTTTCCCGCTGAGCAGGGAGCCCGATGTGGGGCTCGATCCCAGGACCCTGGGATCATGACCTGAGCCGAAGGCAGACACTTAACGACTGAGCCACCCAGGCATCCCTAGAAATGTCCTTCTTAATTAAAACAGGGAAAAGCAGAAGCCTATCAGCTTCCAGGAATCAAAAAAGGCACTCCCTGGCCCTCTGCCCTATCATGCAGACATAGGCCCTCCCATCTCCTGCAGGTGTCACCCCAATCTTCCTGTACCTGTAAGTACTCTTATTTGTTGCTTAAAAACTCATTACTGTTTTACTGTACAATTAGTCTCTTTTAGGAAGTTTTGTGGGTTGTTTTTTTGTTAACCTCACACAAGTAGAACATGTTAAAATTCTCGAAGTACTTTCATAGATCATTTTGTTGGATGACTCCCTTTTTTTCTTTTTTAAGACTTTAAGTAATCTCTACACCCAACGTGGGGCTCGAACTTACAACTCCGATATCAAAAGTTGCATGTTCTACTGACTGAGCCAACCAGGCACCCCTTGATGATTCCCTTCATGAGCACCCAACAGAAACCTATAGACAAATAATAAACAGCAACAGTTTGCAAAGGGTTGAATCTGCTAAAGGTTTTGAATAGTTCTGGAGGCTCAATCAAGTACCATTTTGCAGATGAAGAAATGAAGTCCAAAATGCTAAGCAACTTGTTGACTGTCCAAAGTCAGAAGTCTGTTTCTATTGCACCCTAGACAGATAAGATGGCTGCTTTAACCACTAATAAACTTCACAGAAACCAACACACCACCCAAAAGGTTAAGCACTCTTTCTCCTGTCGAATTTTATAAAACTCAGGAATTAAAAAGCTGTCCTTTTTTTTTTTAATTAAATTTTACTTAGTTAACATACAGTGCAATATAGGTTTCTGGAGTAGAATTCAATGATTCATCATTTACAACACCCAGTGCTCATCACAAGTGCCCTCTTTAATACCCATCTAGCCAATCCCCCATCCACCTAAAAAGCTTTTTTTTTTTTTAAGATTTATTTATTTAGATTTTTAGAGAGAGAGTGTACATGCGCAAAGTGAGGGGAAGGGGGAGAGGGAGAGAATCTCAAGTAGGACCCCCCCCTCCCACTGAGCACGGAGCCCCATATGGGGCTCAATCCCAGGACCCTGTGATCTTGACCTAGAGCCAAAACCAAGAGTCTGACACTTCACTGACTGAGCCACCCAGGTACCCCTGTCTTTTCAGTAAATATCTGCACTACACCCAGCCCAGCCTAGGACCAAAGCTGAAGCTGATCGGATTCATGCCAAGGTGTCAGTTTTCACAGCATATAAGCAAAGCTTCCCTCCATGGCACAGTGGGCTCTTTCTACCAAGGCCACCAGCAAGAACCCCATTTCTCAATTTGATTCACAAAGATAAAATGTTTCCAGGGTTCTTGTCCCATGCTTGTTTATTTATTTACCTTATGCGCCACGTTGTTACAAAAGTATTTAAAACAGAGGTTCCTTAATATACATGCCAATTCTCAATTATTCAAATTGGTTTTTCAATGTGTGGATTTTATCTATTCTAGCTTTGCTCCCCCTTCATCCCTACCTCACAGGTGTGCAAACACCTACAGTCCCAGAAATAAGTCTGTAACAATCTAGGTATGGTCAAACTCAGGAAAACCATACAAGGCAAAGTTAACTTCTACTTAATCACATACACATTTCCTTCCCATTAGTACCTCTACTGGGCCACTGGCAAGGGGCCAGGTTTATGGAGTTGTCAGGTGGGCAGTAGAGAAAAGGAAAATCCTACGGGAGCCCCTGCACTCCAAGACAGGATGTTGCTGATGAAAAGCATATCTCTTCCACCTCCATTCTCTGGGACCTCAGCAACTCTGTCAAGCAGGCATCCAAGGGAAGAGCAAAGAGGCATGCAAATGAAAATGCTTTGGCTTCGCATGAAAGGGGTTGTCTTCAAGTGGGGAATCCCTCTCTGAACTAACCAGTAGGGACCAGGTCTGCAGCATAATCAGTTTGTTTCCCAGATGTTGACCAGTGAGAAGAGCCTCACTCCCTGATTCTCAGGGCAGCACCAAGGGTGTGTCTTTAAAGATCCCTCACTCCTGGGGCACCTGGGTGGCTCAGTCAGTTAAGTGTCTGCCTTCGGCTCATGTCATAATCCCAGGGTCCTGGGATTGAGCTCCACTTCAGGCTCCTTGCTCAGTGGAGAGTCTGCTTCTCCCTCTCCCTCTGTCCCTCCTCCTGCTCGTGCTCTCTCTCAAATAAATAAATAAAATCTTTAAAAATAAATAAATAAAGGGGCGCCTGGGTGGCTCAGTCGTTAAGCGTCTGCCTTCGGCTCAGGTCATGATCCCAGGGTCCTGCGATCGAGCCCCGCATCGGGCTCCCTGCTCTGCGGGAAGCCTGCTTCTCCCTCTCCCACTCCCGCTGCTTGTGTTCCCTCTCTCGCTGTCAAATAAATAAAATCTTTAAAAAAATAAATAAATAAAAAATAAAAAATAAATAAATAAATAAAAATAAAGATCCCTCACTCCTAAAAGTGTTTTTCACAGGTTAAAGTAGACATGACGAAGTGCTCCTTCTCTTTTCTAAAGACACAAATGATTTTTAGTTTTTGACAGAGGGACTTTCCCACTCTGAGTTGTTTCACTAATAAATAAGCTACCTGGTGCCTTTCTTAACAAGAAAGTGTATTATCTGACCCAGAGCAACATTGCTGGACTCTGAATCAGTCCACTCTTACAAACCGGTTGTCATTGCTAATACACACGTACAGTCGCACCAGGGTGAGCTATAACCCAAAACCAACCATCAGCCTCTAAAATAAAGGCTAACTTGTAATCTGATTTTGGAGACCCTCAAAAAGAGACCTTTGGGGCCCCGAGTCCCCCCATTTCCTTAAGAACTATCCAAGTAACAAAAACAATAGGAAAATCCATTTTATGTGGGTCCCCCAACACAAAAATGGGACAAGATAGGCTTAAAGGGACTCCTACATCGTCTTAAGTTTCTAAATGTTGAGGCGAGTCTAAATAATCACATACAGTGCCAAACAGAGTGCCACCTGAAAAATGGACTCCATGCCAAGGTTTTTACCCCTGATATTCAGGAGCAATAATAAAATATTTTGGCCACTGTTTCTTCATGGATTTCACAGTGCGTTTGATTCAATTATCATTTCAGGCTTTTTTAAAAAATATATTATTTATTTATTTATTTGACAGAGAGACAGCGAGAGAGGGAATACAAGCAGGGGGAGTGGGAGAGGGAGAAGCAGGCCTCCCGCTGAGCAGGGAGCCCAATGAGGGGCTCGATCCCAGGACCCCGGGACCACGACCCGAGCCAAAGGCAGACGCTCAACGACTGAGCCAGCCAGGCGCCCCCATTTCAGGCTCTTTGAACAGTTCCCTCTTCTTTCTGTCTGTTAACATGTGGTAATCTTTTTTTTTTTTTTTAAGATTTTTATTTATTTGACAGAGAGAGACACAGTGAGAGAGGGAACACAAGCAGGGGGAGTGGGAGAGGGAGAAGCAGGTTTCCTGCTGAGCAGGGAGCCCGATGCAGGGCTCGATCCCAGGACCCTGGGATCATGACCTGAGCTGAAGGCAGTCGCTTAACCAACTGAGCCACCCAGGCGCCCAGCATGTGGTAATCTTAATCAGGCACAGGCAGAAATAGGCCAGGAATCCCCCAGATGTTCAGACTAAAAAAATAGTAATAGATAAGAAATACCTTGTAGTGATCCTCAGAGATCCACTTCCATTATAAGTGCTATTGGCAATGGATCACACCAGCTTTACAACCACAAAATCAACACAATATGCGAAAAGTTCCATAGTAAATATAGTAAATATACATCCAAGAAACTCTAAGGGTTGAATGGACAATTCCATCTAAGAAAAATAAAAACAAAAAAACAGGGCAGATCCTTGTTCATCTCAACTGCTTGCTCCTACCCAAAACAACTCCCACAATCCAAATCTACGACGATTCTTCCCACCAGGGAGTCTACCAAAGACAATTTCACTCCATCCTCCTTTCTATCCTTCCTAACTAAGCCAACCCCACTTCCTACTCCAACAAAATGCTTGTTCTTCAATTCCATGTATTTCCATGAGTGAAGAGTAAACTGTCTTTATTCTTGGGCAGTACCTCCCCTAAAAAAAAAAAAAGAGAGAGACACACTCTGTTCGTTACTGTATGTTCCCAGTGTGCTGAGTCCTTGTACACAATTTTAAATGACTGAACACTCAGACTGAGGAAGGCAAGAAGGCAAACAGGAGGATACGGAAGACCAATGCATTCCGAAGTTTTCTGTGACACACAAAAAACACACATGGTATAACACCTAACACATTCACATACATATGTATACCTAAAGCAAGCATCAAGAAACAATACTTGGTCTTACTAAGTACAATGCACTCTGATTATCTTTTTTTTTTTAAATGATGGCCATGATCCACTAAACTGGATTCCAGCTAACCAATGGGACTCTGTTTGAATGGGAGTTCAGTTTGAACTGCGATAAATCAAACCTCACAGTTGCATTCCAAAAACTACTTATGAACCCTTTAAAACGCCAGCAGACAGCAGAGACAATGACCAATCACAAGAACCCGACACAACCAGGTAGGCAGTACCTTCCTCTGTCCAGCAGCCAGGGTTTAAGTAGCTCCCAATATCCCAGCATCCCAGTGTTTCCCAAGTAACCCAGGGGTGCTCCATCCATATGCCTTTTTGTTACCCTCTTTATAAATTCAACCCATTCAATCTTTTAGGGTGGCAAAATTCATTTACTGCCCACTATGGAAAGCAATACTTCCTTTTTGTCCCCAGACCAACCCTCTTCAAGCCTGAAGGAAGAGCCTTCCAGGAACCCAAAATTCAATGAATAGTTGGTACTCTGCATGCCTCTGTGATTTGTGTGGATGCTATACAGGAGTATGCACACACACGTCTGTCTCTCTCTTTCCCTCCCTTTTCATTTTTCCAGTCTTAGTCCTGGCTGATGCAGCCTCTCGTGAAATGAGAAACCTGGGAACCCCCTGGAGCCGGAGAAGCCACTCACTGGCATGACAGAAAGCAGTGGACGCACTCTCCACACCACAGAAACGCCTGGCAAACGAGTCACAAAGTTATTTGAAGACCCAGGCTGGGAAAGGGAAGGGAAGACAGAGAAGTAAGACAAACTCGAGGAGCCGCGGAAGGGTGACCGACTGAGGCCACCTCGCAAAGGCTGGACCGCAGCCCACCGCTCCCCAGGCCGGCCCCACATCTCTGGGAAGGCAGGTGAGCGCAGGAGGGGGTCGCGGGGTGCAGAGACCAATGGGGACCCCGCCGCCCTTGGGGACTGGGAGGGGAGGGTCGGGGTCAGGGGCCGCCCCTCTGCCCCCAAGGGGCCCACTAACCTCCCACTCCAGCTTCTCCCCACCCACCCCGGTGAGTGCGCCTTCCCAACTGCAGGGAAGGAAGACAGCGGAGAAAAAGTTAGGAGCTTGACGCCCATTCCCCCAGCCACCCTGCCATACCGCTCTCGCCGCCCGGGAATACCCCGCTGCCGGCCTCTCTGGCCCAGCGCCGCCTTCTGCCCCCACGCGGCCGCTCCACTGCGCTTGCGCGCCCTACCCAGCCGGGAGAGCGGCGGTCTGAGAGTGCGCGCGCGCCTTGCGTGTGCTGGCGTGGGGGGGTGGGACCTGCGAGGCCCCGCCCCCTCCTCATCCCCCTCCCTCCTCCCGTTCCCCCTCCCCCAGACTGCCGCGGCCGCCGCAGGAGCCCGGAGCTCGAGCCGCCCAGCGACTCCCCCTCCCCCTCCCCCAGCCCCGCCCCGCCCCAACCCGGGGCTCCGAGCCGGAGCCGAGTCTGCGCCTGGGGGTGAGTACGCGACCCTTCCCCAGCCCCTTCTCTTTTCTTTGAGGATCCTACCACCACCCAAAGGAAAACCCGGACTCAGCTGCGTGTCCCCTCCCTTCAACCTCCTGCGGGACCCAGAGGTGCCCGGGCCCGCGGGACCTAGTGGTGTCGCGCGCTGCTCCCAACCCCGCACCATCTTGAGCCAAATGCGAGTCCTCCGAACCCTGCCGAGGGTCCAGATGTGCCCCGCCGTCTGTCCCCACCCCTGGGGAGATCCAGAGGGGTGGGACCCCCGCCCCCGGCCCCCTAGCGCCACTCTTCTCCCACCTGCCCGGTCCAGGTGCGCGTCCCCCGCGCGTCCCTCCAGGGTTCCAGCTGCGCCCCCATCAGCCCGCCGCCGCTGTGGGGAACCTGCCGCCCCCGCCCCCGAGTTTTGGATTCCAGGGTCGCCAAGTCCAGTGCCCTCGGTCTCTTTTATCTTGTCTCCTGTTCCCGGGGCTGAGTACCCCAGAAGCCGACCCGGGGCAGGGGTTCGGGCTCGGACAAGGGCAGGGTTCGCGGGTGCTGGCGTGAAGCCGGCCGCTGCCCCCGGCCCGTCTGGGGACTGGTCGCGGGCTGGGGAGGCGACTGGCCCCAGGAGCGTGTCCTCTCCTTGCGCCCCACACAGTGCAGTTCATTCATGAGCCGCCCGGGCCTGCGTTGGAGGGTGCGGTGGGGAGAGGATTCAGACACGGAACCAGGAGTGGGGCAAAGGCCCTGTTGGGGGGAGGGGGCGCGCTTTGTCCCTCCTGGCCTCCTTGACTGTCTAGGGAGGACAGTCCCAAAGATTTGGCGCCTTGTTCCTCAGAAGAGAAGGTCGCTTGGGAAGTGGAGAGAGGTCAGAGGGGCCCGCTGCCCTTGGGGCTCTGTGCTGCCACCTGCCTGGGTCCTCTGGGGGGAGGTCTGGCGGCTCAGCACTCCACTTCCCTGGGGGGCAGGAGAGTCCCAGCTTCTCTACCCAGTACCACTCTAGCCCTGGGTCGGCCCAGGAAGAATGAGGCTGTGCCCAACCCCTCTTAAGGATGGACCCTCGGTCTTGCCCCCCAGGAGCTTGTGAGGAGAGGAGTGGAGTGTCTACCAGGCTTCCAGCCCTGGTATGCTGGCAGCATGACTGTCCTCCAGGGCACCAGAGGGTCCAGGCCCTGGCTTGCTCCAGGTGGCACATGCTAGGGCCTGCTGTTGGCTCACCCAACTCAGTCTTGGCCTATGGGTGAGTGGGTGGGGATGTGGCAAGGCAGAAGGCAGGTGGTGGGTAGCTAAAGGTAGCTGGGGTGGCTAACCCCCTTTTGGACATCCTACAAGTTCTCTCCAATTATAACAGCATCTTAGAGACCTCAGTTCAAATTCCAGCTCTGCCATTTTTTAGCTGTGTGACCTTGACAAGTTACTTAACCTGTCTGAACCTTAGTTTTAATTGAAAAGTGTGTTTACTACCATCTCCTTACATGATTTATCATGGGGATCAAATAGATAACACAGATAAAGAGCCTGGCACGCTGCCTGGTTGTTGATCAATAATAGGTCCTCTTCTCTGAACTTCTGACCCATCCTGGCATAGCATCACCCTCCCGTACCCCCACCTTTCCGGCCTGCTACAGATGGATTGGGTATGTTTGAAGAGTTTGGGGACACTCCCTGCCACTTAGTGGCAGAGTCCCAAATGCCATATAAGCCCTTGGGTCTAAACAAGAAGCCCATCCTGACTGAGGGGCTCTATCATTAAAGTGTGTTTTCCTTTATTTTTATTTTTACCAGTTTCCTCCACTAAACCAACCCTTTTATGCCAGACTTTATTAATAACAGTAGCTAATTTTTTTAGAATCCATCACGTGCCTTGAACCCTATTAAGAGCTTTACATAAGTCGTCTTGTTTAGTTCTCAAAACAACCACACAACTGAATGATTATTCCCATTTTCAGATGAAGAAACTGAGGCCCAGGGTGGTGAAGTAAATTTGCCCAGGTCAGTAGCCAGATCTGTCTCATCCTAGAGCCTGAGCTTCTAACCCCCAGGCTCTGTCACCTGTCCTCTACACTTCTCCCAGAATCTGAAATCACAAGCCCAGGGTCTGAGTGGAGGGTCTGGCAGCTACAGGCAAGAAGGAGGGCAAACACCAATAGGATGTGGCATTTCTCCAGAGTTGTAGCGGGCAGCCCCCAGCCCCCAACTCCCAGGCCCCCAGTGGAAGCGGTTCCTCTGTGGGCCAGGGCAGCAAAATGCAGTGGTCAAGAGCATATGCTTAAGCCAGGCTACATGGGTCCATATCTGGATTTATGACAGTCTGGCTGTGTGACATTGGGCAAGTTATGTACCCTCTCTGCACCTCAGTGTCTTCTCAGGGTCTGGATGGCGAGTAAATAAGTTAACATGTGTAAAGCACTTAAAACAGTGCCTGGCACAAAATCAGAGTAAAATGAATATTTGATAATGCATTCTTTTCCTAGTACTTTTATCCTCACTCGTGGATACTTTTTTGCCTGTCCCTGTGAAGTTGGGAGGGGTGGAGCAAGGATACCTTTTTGCTACAGTTTGGAAGACTGAGGCCCGGGTTACATAATAGCAGGGCAGGGCTCCATCACATCATCTCCTCTCTTCAGACCACACCGCCTTCCTGGGAGTCCAGGCCCTAAACGAAGAAATCTTCCCAAGTGACTCTGGAAGAAAAAAACTTTTTAACTGATAACTCCCCCACCCCTGCCACTTCTTAATGGTAAAATAACAACCTTTAGATAGCTGGAAATAAAATCCTCTGCCACCCTCTACCCATTGGTGGCCGAAGCCTCAGTGTCAGACTAGAGAAATTCCAGGATACAGCTGGCTGAGTGGATGAACTGCCCCCCCCAACACCTCCCCCCAAATATTCTGCCTCAGTCTCTTCCCTCCAACCAGCTGCTCTCACTAAAGGCTTTGAGTAGCTGCCCTAGGTGAAGTTCAGCCCAGCAACCCCACCCCCACGATTTGGAGCTTAGAGGAACCCAGTCAGCCTAAAGAGCCACCAGCCCTGGCTCCACCCTTTACCTGCCCTGTGACCTCTTGTGAGTTGCTTCTGCTCCCTGGGTCCCTGCTTCCTCCCCTGTAAAGTGGGGATAGTGATCTGGTCCAGCAAGTGTGCCCTGCCTTCCTTGGCCTTGGGGGGGGTACTGGGGGGGGGATATGTAAGATCAATGCATTTGTGGAGGGGAGAGTGCTTTGTGACTCGAAAAAGGGAGGCAGCAGATGGACGTGGTAATTTCAGTTACTAAGCATCTACCTGGACCTTCACCCACCCTACAGGGTCCCCTTAATGTAAAAGCTCCCGGAATGTTCCACCTTCCTTCAGTGTGGAGAGGACTGGTGGGGGGGGGCCTCCAGGGGTTTGTACCCGTTACATTCGTTTTGGTTTTTTTTTAAGATTTTATTTATTTGAGAGAGAGAGAGCGTGCGTGTGAGAGAGAGAACAAGGCGGGGGGGGGGGGGAGCAGAGGGAGAAGCAGGCTCCCTGCTGAGCAGGGAGCCCGACATGGGGACATAGGACTCAATCTCAGGACCCTGGGATCATGACCTGAGCCGAAGGCAGACGCCCAACCGACTGAACCACCCAGGCTCCCTGTACCCGTTATATTCTGGCCTGGTAGAGCCTTGGAGTTAGGGAGAGAGACAGGCTGTCTTGATTGTTGGAGTTCACTGGAGTAGGGAGTTAAGGGGGGAGGTGCTACTGCAGAGGGCCCCCAACTACCACACACCCAAGCTACCTCTGCCTACCTTTAACCTCCCCTTTAACCCTGGTGCCCCAGGGTTCTATGCACCTTATGTTTACATACCCAGGCTCCCAGGCACACCCACACCCCAACTTAGAGACCAGTCACCTACCTCCCCCTACACACACACACACACACATCAACACATGTCTGCACACCTGAACATACATATTCCCACAGTGCTCTGGTGTTTTCTAGCCAGAGAACATTTAATGAGCATGTACAAAACTTCCGTGTTCTGCAGAGTCCTGTTCTAGGCACATCAGAAGAGCATGATGCCCTGAACAGTGTTCTAGCTTTAGAAAGAGGTTGACCTAGGTTTGAACCCCATCGTTTTATTAGCGGTGTGACTTAGGAAAAGTTACTTAACCTCTCTGAGCCCCTGTGCCCTTATCTTAAAATGGCAATAATATCCAACTCAGGATTGTCGAGGGTTAAATGAAATCATGTATGTATTATTCTTGAAACAGTGAGCACTTGGTAAGTGGTGCCTGTTGCAATCACTGAATTAATGGGGTTTTCGGGGTTTTTTGGTTTGGGGTTTTCTTTTAAGGCAACTTGAGCTGGAACAGAAGAGGGGGGCATAACACACCAGGCAGGTACTACCTTAGCCTTCCTAACACAGGCTTTTCAGAAACTCCCTGGGACCAAGTGAAACATACAAACAACCACAGCTCCCCCCTCCATCTGAGAGCTGGTGCCTCTTGTCCTGTAATTTAAGTGTTAGGAAGAGGCTGGGGAAAACCAGGGATCAGTGGGCAGGAGAAACCCTCTGAGTCCACCCAGGAGGCTGGAGGATGCTTGCTCCCAGAGTTATTGTCACGGGTTCTAGGTTTGTTGTTCTCTCTCTTTGTCTGGTTTCCTCTCTTCTCTGGGGAGCCCCCCCCCAAGGCAGAGTTTCAGTGTTGTCAGCAGAAGGGGCCCCCAGGGGCCCCCCAGTAGGACGCAGGTGGGGCAGCAGTGCCACGGCCACACTTCTCCTCTACTCTAGGAGCCTCCCCAGG